GAGTGTTGCTGAAATGCAAGGCAAAGTAATCCTGTGAGAAGTTTCAGCTTTTCAAGAGTGTATGTTTAAGAAAGCATATTTAGCAGTTTTGGAATGCACATCCATGGCCATTGCTACTTAGTGTAAAAACTATGCATGAATTGTAAATTTATAGGGGCATGAGATGCTCTTCACATCATCAGTCCTTGTGATTGAAAGTTGTATATAAACAGCTTGGGAAGTTACTTTCTTCCCTGTTGCCTTTCTTGAGCTGTTTGCAAGGCCTCTATTTTGTTCATAGTTTTAGTTTTTGGCAGAGCAAGACTAATGCAGTCCAGTGTTTGGAATATTGTTCTCTCAATACTACATATTTGCATAGGTCTTTATTAACGTTTTACATATTAGACTGGACAGTGAGCCCTTCATAAGACAAAGGCAGTTCTGTCCTTCTTGTTAAAAAAACACCTTGTTCATCTGATTCTAAATAAATGATGTCAGGGCCATCATTAGCAATCACTCAAGAATGTTTTCCCAAAAATATTTTTGTGACCTCAGGAACATGTTTATATTTTGAAACTTCTTAGCCATGTCTTTTGCAACAAAATATTTTGACTTTTCACTATTCACTGTTTCAAGGTGATTTGTTCATCTTTAAGACTAATAGTGGGTTTTTCTGTCCTTTTAAAATATTTGGGGGCATTTTGGAGCTGCTACTAGACCATGAGTTAAAAATATGTGGATACTGAAGCTGTCCAGGCTAATAATTATCAAGTGCTGAAAGACTGCTTGTTTGAATGTAAGTCTGTAAAACTTGATTTGAAGAGAGAAATCTCTCTGTGAAGGTTTACTGTGGATAGAATTTCCTGAATTCTCAAATATGAAATGCCCTTTGACTTTTAGATCAGATCATTAGTCAGCTTTTCTTTTTAGGAATATGATCTGTTACTTGAGCAAAGAGCTCTGTTGGATACCTCTCCCTCCAACCTGCATTGATCTGTGAACACACATCACTTCAGCCTTTCTTTTCTTCTTATTCTCTGAAAATGCTTCTCTTCCATTTCCTCCTAGAACTGAGGTATTTTTGGAGGCTGGGTTTTGGCAGCCATCCTCTGAATATTTTTGTAACTGACGCTTTCTTGCAAGAATTTAATGGGCAGTTTATAGGTGCTTTTCATTAGATCTTTTATCAACTGTTGCCTGAAACGTCTTCTCTTCCTGGCAGAAGTTTTTCAAATTCTTAACTCATGATAAAAAACCCCAGGAAGGTCTAATAAATTAGTCACACAGTGGCTAGCACTGATTTCAGCTTGTCCAGCTATGGAGATACCTTATCTCCTGGAATGCCAAGCCTTGGGGACAGCATGAGTAGAGCATTGATTCCTCCTGAAGCTATGAGAGCTGGTTTTTATCAGGGGAAGGAAGTGACCTAGCATCTCCCTATGCTGGGACTAGAGAGCTTTCCACTTCCATCATGCCCTGTTGTTTCTATAAGGTGGCAGGCCGGGTCTAAGGTTTTAGCTCCTATGCAGTGTCTTACTGTGCACCAAGCCAGCTCCTGGCACAGGGGAAATGGAGGATGAGTGACTGGTTGCTCCAGGGGAGATTTAGATCGGATATTAGAAAAAATTTTCTCGCCGAAAAGGTTGTAAGGCATTGGACCAGGCTGCCCAGGAAGTGATTGGGTTACCATCCCCAGCAGTGCTGACTTAACAGCTGGACTTGGTCATCTTTGAGGTCTTTTCCAACCTTGATTACTCTATGTTAGACCGAAAATTGGAAGAGAACTTTGAGAAGAACAAAGGGTTGTTCTGACTCAGCCCAGGTGCATAAGTGCTAGAGGTGGTGAGCAGAAATCCCCACAGAAAGCTTGAAGGGTCTGAGAGTGGGTCATGCATGCATGTAGAGACTTGGGTTTTGTGCATGGAGCCTGAAAATTCGTAGTTGTATCCTGGTTTGGATTACTGATTTTTGGGTGTTTGATGGGATTGTTTGGCTCAAAATGTGCGAAGGATTAGGATTAGGACTGGGGAAGAGGGCACAGGCTGGAGCTGTAGATGCCAGAGGAAGATATGTGGTGCAGGTTTTCTCTCCTGAAAACTCTTTAACTAGGACATGGCTGGGGACAGAAGGCCCAGGGCAGGCAAATCCTTTGGTTAGGATTGGTGGGGCAAGAACGCGTGGGACTGCAGTTGTCAGGGGCTTCTAGGAGAAGGTGCGAGTGAGTGGATTTTGTTCAGACTGCAGAGTCTGTCCCTTGGGCAATGGCCAAGGATCTTGTGCCAGGTCCCCAATGCAAAATGGTGATCTGTCTTGTTTGCTCAGTATTTCAACAGAAACCCACAGAGCTGATAAAACTTTACATACCAAGACATGTGCTCTATGAAAGTCTAAATTGGCACAGAAAATTTAGTTTGTGTATAGAGGCCTATGGCAGAAGAGGTATATTTAGTGGATTTTTGAGAAGTTGGGATGGACACTAACTGTGAGAGTGAGGGCGTCCATTGAGACCCTGCACAAACAGCACAACTTTTCAGCTGGCTTGGTAGCAGAGCAAGCTTAAACCACTCAAAGTTTTGGCATCTGGATTGTTGCTCTAGATGAGGCAATAAGTCAGAAGCAGACAGTCTGCTCTGGAAGAAACCTCCCTTTGACATATTCTGCAGCAAGCAAGTCCTGGGGGGTTTGGTGCCAGACTGCTTAGAAATGCTTCTAATAGGAGAGAAACTTTTTAATAATAATTTTAATTCCTTCCTCAGGGTTTTCCATCTTGCCCCATCCTATTTCCTCTCTTTTCAGCCTCCAAATGGTGACCTAAAATGTTGTTTGTTCTCTACTCCTTTCCTTCCTCTCAATTTATCCTTCTCCTGTATTTCACAGGGAAGTCTGTACAAGCCATTTTGAAGATTTATTTAGAATGGGTTTTGGCATTTGAGGTTTCCAATAAGAACTCTTTATTTTGCTTTCTATTATTGCCTATGACTTTTAATCTGCACCTGCAATATTGGTTATGGTGCTGATGCATTCATGTTTGAGTAATAAAGAAAATGGGATGCTTTAGCTAATACATTCTTTTTTTCCTGAAACTGAATAGGCAGACTGAGGATTAAAACCACAAGAGAGCTACAGTATTTGGAAAGAAGTCCTCTGGCAAAAAAAAATTTATATCTTAAATTGCCTGGTGTAGCAACTAAATGGAAAATAGTAGTTTTATAAAGTTGCTGCTCTGTGAGGTTAAAAAGTACCATAGTATCTTCTGGGGGAAAAAAAAAAGTAATTCTTTTTCCATTTGTGAAATAAAATAATGGTTCTAGAGGATAGGCAGTTCTTTTATTGGTGTTCTCTTAATCTAATGGGGAAAAGTGATTTTTTTTGTAAATAAAAGTATAATAATTCATTTGGTTTTAGGACATTGCTGTTAGATTCTACCTTAAGCAGAAGAGGAATAGTACAGCCATCTCTATGAGCTTGGGTTACAGAGTTTTTAACTTCAAGAATATTTAAAAAATACCCCCAACTCCCAAAGGTATCATTCCTATCTGTTTTGATGCTACTCCCAATGGAGAATGGTGTTGGAGATGTGGGAACTTCAAGAATGTAATAACATGCATACAATTTTGGACAAGTGGAACAAAAGCTTTGCTAACTATGATTATAGGAAAGTAAGAATCTTCCACTCTGCCCCCTGTTGTGGCCAAGTGATTGCAGAAACCCAACCTATAAACTGTTTCAGGGAGACACAAAGGGAAAGAGGTGAGGAAAAGTGATCACTTCAATGTTCATAAAGCCAGATGTTCACTACAGGAGGGATGAAAACCTTCATGAACTTGTAAACTGCCACAGTCCTAAGGAATCAAGCAACAAATAATGTGCCACAGTGTAGAGATGGCTCTTGGTGGAGCTCTGAGCAGTGGCACACTGCCTGTTATCCTAACTCAGAAGTAGGAAGCTGAAAACCATCACAGACTGTTAGCTTTAGTTGAAAGAAATATTCTTCTCATTTGGATAAACTTTTCAGGAGCACCTCTGAAATATTAAATATGAATAATTTTACTACCACAACAAGCTGCCAGAGGAGTCTTCTCTTGAATGGAGACCATGTCAGCCCAAAATGAGGTTCCTCTGTTCCATGGAGCTATTCTAATTTTCAGAGAGTTTTAAATTTAAACAGACATCATTTTTTCCCTTCAAAGGTCTTGAATTGATGATTTTCTTCCCAGTGGATGGAACTGGTTGAATTTTTCTTTGGATAAGAAGCATTATGGTTTTCTCTTGGGGGAAGGGTGGTGAAGACACAGTGTTTGTTGCAACAGGATTTTACAATTAAAATTCCCCACTTTTAGAGGCTTGGTCATTTTTTTGAGTATTGTAACAATGAGCCATGTCAGCACATCTCATAGCATGCTCATGGGTGGTGAGGAACTTGGATTTGGAGAGTTGCTAATCTTTAGACGCTGAACAGTGTTCAGCTGTGGTATCACTGGTGTTTTCATGATGAGATGGGAGGTTTATGAATTCCCTTTTTATTTGTCTTCTCTCATTTATGATTTATGGGGCCCTCCGTTCAACACAATATATGGAAGAATGGCATTTAATTTCAAGTTTAAGATGAAAAAAAATAGACAGGCCACCCATAAAGTGTACATCCTTTCTCACTTTCCTGCAGTGCAGAAACTGCCATAGCTGGATGCCTTCTAGGTTTCTGCTCTCAGGCCCTTCTAGGCATGATCTGCCTGTACACAGGTAAGGCAGGCTGATGTGTCAAAATTCACCCAGAGTCTGTCTGAGTCACTGATGTGATCTAGATCAATTTAGAATTTAAAATAAATACTATTGCGTTACTGTGCTGTGGATATTCTCCATTTCAGTGATCAAATTTGGGTGTCCATATATGTTTTCAGAAAGGAGAAAGGGGAGATTCTTTTTTTTCTAGTCACACTGAAATCCTTATATACTGGGGGAAAATGTTTGATAATTTGGATTTTATGACTTTCCACTCATAAAATATTCCTTTCTCATAACAGGTTGCTGAATGCGATAAAGCCAGGGTTGGTAAAAAAGATCAACAGACTGCCGACCCCCATTGCAGGTTTGGTGAGTATATCAAATGGAGGAAAATGTTTCAGTCCTGCTTTTTGCACCTTGACATTGACTATGGGATTCACAAAGCAGTTATTTTTGTAATTTGAACTCTTCTAGCCTAGTAAACTCAGACAGTCCCTCTGAAATTGGAATGCTCTGTGTAGTCACCTTAAGACCTTTCAGTCTTTTTTTTCCAGAAGTAGGCAGTATTCAAGTGTCAGGGACATTTTTAGAGGAAGATAATCTTCTTGGTTATATATCACCTCTCAGTTGTGGCACTAGCTTTAGAAAAACTGGAATGCATGCATTAGAAGCCACCACCACAAAAAGATAGTTTTTGGAAAGGAAGAAAACTGTACTTGTATATTTTGTCTCATTTTCCCTTTCCCCAGAGTACCATAGTCTGCAGAAAACATTCATTCTGGGATTATCTGGGGAGCTGTTTCATGTTGACTTTAAGGGCAGACCAAAGTTTGTCCAGACTCTGTTGTAAGCAAGGAAGACCACAGAGGATGTGCTGACAGCTCATGGGCTGCCAGGAGCGCTGGGTGCTCAGGGGGTCCCCTCAAGTGGTGGCACAATCCTGTGCTTGCTGGTGGGGCAGAAGGTGGGAGTGGGTCTAAAAGGATTAGGCACATAGAAATATGGCTGTATTGATTTTACCTTCAACTGTAATTGGGAATAAAGTGTCCTTGAGCACGTGGAAGGTGGCCATCATCTATTTAGACTCATCATGTGCGTACGTGGTTCCTTTGTGTTCTGGCAGTGTTCTTATTGCGGCCTATACAAGGTTCAGAATATATTACTTGTTGATACTAGCTGAAGTTGAGGTTTCTTTGTATAAACAACACTAAAAAGTTTCAGTGTATCAGAAACCATGTTACATTTGCTCTTAAATTAGCTCTACAATGCTGTTGCATAGCCTTTGAGGCTGGGTCTAACATGTAGATTGACAAGGCTATTTCTGCATGAATACTGCCTGGTAGAATCTCATTTTTGATCCCCACCACCCTTTCTCTGAAGTTTCCTTGAGTGCCTTTCTTTTGCCTCTAAAACCCATCTAGTTTCATTCCTTTGCTGTCCTATTTGAAAGGAATATTTGACATAAACAGCTGAAAAAAGTACCAGTAGTGCAGTTTTCTTTTCCTTGGCTCGCTTTCAGGAAAGACTCAATTTTTGTTATGACTGTTTTAAGAAGATGATATTGAATTACATTGGGTTTTTTCCTTATTCATATGTAAAATCCCAATGGTAAGGTGGTTATAGTAGGAAGGACATAGAAAAAAGTCATTATGTGTGTGTATTTTTCTCATTCCTTGAGATGGAGCTCTGTTGCAAGATGTGTATCTTCAAAGCATCATAAAAAAAGAAGTTTTCAGGCTACTAATTATACAGTAAATCTTTTTTTTTGTGTTGTAAAGTCACTTTATTACCTCTGTACCGGTGTCCTCTGATTTCCTTTAGTAACTACTTTTCTAAGTATTTTTTCCTAATAAAAAATTAGGCTATTTTAAAAGTTCACTGTTTGAGTTATTGAACATTACCAATGAATGTTTTAATGTACTGTTCTGTGAATGAATTGCTCCAAACAAAGCAATCAAAATTTCCCCTTGCTTTCCAAGATATCTGGTTCCATACCTGCTGACTTTTGTTGCCATTTGTAGTTGCAGTGGTGAGTAAGTGGCTGCTTTAAGGACTGCATGTGAATTAAAAGGATCAAGTATTCTATCTAGTCTGTTATGCTTATTTATGGTGTATTATTTAAAAGTACAGCCATCAGGGGTATATTTGAGCACAGGGTGTATCCTTTTCTTTTCACTAACCTGTACCATGCCTATGTATCTGAAAAAGAAGTTAAAATATTGACACTAAGGTCCAGAAGCAGTTATACCTCCCAGGTAGTATGACCCTACATGTGAGACATTCCCTTATTAGTTGCCAATTTTTCTTTATTATCTTAGTTTTGGTTGGCTTGACATACTAAATAGTTACTTCTTTCCAGTTATTTCACCCCAGTGAGTGTGATTTCCTCAGGTACAAGTAGAAATTCTGTGAAAGCTTCAGTACCTTTTCTTCCTTGCATGAGATACATGCTTTTAAATCCTAGATTCTGCTTCTGCCTAAAAAGTGTAACTGAGTTACTGTAACAGAATTCATTTCTTTCCTGTATCTGATAGAATAAGTTTTTATTTCACTAGAAGAGACAATAGGTATGTTTTCTTTTATACACAGTAGGAGCAAAAACTTATGAGTAATTGTGGAGTATTCAAAGTGCCTTTTGTTTCATCCTCAACCTCTAGAGACACAAACAGTTGTATATTATGTAGCTCTACAAAATGTCTATTTGACTCTAATTCTCCAATGATAGTCTATTTTTCTCCTTTGTTATGGTAAGGAAAAATTAGGAAGTGTCCTTTATGGAAGGAAAATAACAGTAAACTTGAAGCCCATATCAGACACATGCTGAGGTGTTCACTTTGAAGTATTATCAGGTGTAACAATTTTGCCTATGTTTCATGTTTGAGTGACTTCTCACAACACTTCTGTAAGTATTATGTATAACTGGTTCAGTGTTGACAGACTGAATTCTTCAAATCTTTCCTGGCATTTAAAACTAGATGAATCTGCAGTTACTCTGAAATTCTGACCAGTGACTTGCTCATGTATTTTAAGAGGGAATAATTTATTTGCAGATCTTGCAGACCAGAACACCAGTCATTTAAGTAAAATTTATCAGTTATCGTGCTGTGGTGTTAAAGTAAGAACTCAAGGATCTGAACACCACCATACTTAGCACAGGCTGTATAAATACACAAAGATGATCTTTGTCTAGTTGCAAGTCTAAGTCAGGATGTGGATTGTATGCAGCATTACATATAGAATTACATATGTTCAGCTTGGCAGGCTTGTTTGTAACTTGCTTTGATCTCCAGAAGTGCCGACTGCTTCTGTTATCACAGCAGAAATGATACATTGCTTTAATGAAAGAAAATGTAGGACCACAGCTTTGGTATTCATACTGACAGTATTAAATCTGATGAAGTGTTTTCTCATTCTTGTTCAGTATTCATTAATCCTGAAAGCTTATGCTCCCACCAAAAAGCAAATTCACAAAGCATTTAAAGAACATATTAGGCTTAGGTAGGAGTAGCAGAAGAAATTTTCTCATGTGAAAAAATTGATACTGAGCATCTTTGTTCTAAGACTGTCAGGTTTCTAGAACCATCATTTAATGTATTTATTTGTAGAAGGCTGGAGAAGTATTTTGACTAAGTATTAAAAAAACATCGGGAGCTGCAGAAGACTTGCAAAGGTGTATTAGAGTACAATGAATATAATACAACTTTTACAAAACCAGCAAATTTTTTGAGTGAGTTGCTGTTGGTTTCTTTCATTTTGTATGACATTCACAGTGAATACAACTAATGTTTAAGGTTTCTATTAATTGTAATTTTGTACCTCTAGACCTTATTATCTATTCTATGAAAAATTACCAGCATCGCCGTAGATAAGGTTTGCTCTATAATACTAACTACTGTATGTTGACTTTATTTTTCCCTTAAAAAGATTCCAGCTTTTGCTTCCTGTCCCTGAATAATGTCACTCTGTGAGAAAATAAAAGGCTTCTGCCTTATCTTTTGTTTGACAGGATTTAGGGGAGTTTATAGCATTACTTCAGTTCCTTGAACAATCCCCACAGGAGCTCAGACACTTACTTCAGAGGCTGTGTGAACGATTCTCACATATAATAGGAGGAAGTAGTGAAGACAAAGATGGAGAGATGAACTTTAGCTTGCATCTTGGCTCATGTTTCAGCACTACTGCATAAAAGATCTGTTTACTGTGGCATCCAGGTTTCAGTTTGTTTATGGTCCTTAACTTTGTGACATATGTATGATATAGCACTGGAAAAAATAGACTTGCAGGAGTCACCTGGTTGCATGGTTATTGCACCAAGATGAACAGAGGCAGAATGTGCTGCTTAAGAAAGTTTGTTCCTTTGAAAGCAGGGTTGGGTTTTTTTCCCTCATTATTTTCCCAGGAAGTTTCTTTTGGCAAAGTGTTCTCTGAGAGCTTGCTATTACCCTTAGTAAGAACAGCTATCTGTCTGCTGGTGCTGGTAGCTTGTTCTCATGCTGTAATATTGCACAAATTGTAAGTTTGGGGTTTTTCTACTTATATGTTATTTCAAGGAAATGTTGTCCTTATGTTAGCTTTCAGGAGTTTGAGCTACTAATTAAGTTCAGCAAATGAGATCTTGTTTCTTCATGCAGGTATCAACCTCAAAATAAAATTACAAGACCCAAATACAGTATAGTGTGTCTCACACAGTTAAAAATAATTAGCAAAGATAAATACACAAAACTTTAACCAACATGCATTATTTTTATCACTCTCTTCATTCATACCTCCTTGTTACTAATTTTTTTTTAAGAATTGTCTTGGTTTTTTCTTTTAAATTTGTCACTCTCCCTTTAGTTCTAGTTCTTTCTAGAAAAAGCCTGCTCCTATTGTAATATATAGAGTCATAATATATGATAGTTTCTGTTTTCTTGTTTTGTACTACTATTCTCTGCTGAATATTTTCATTTCCCATCACAATTGTATTCATAAAAAAGTCTTGCTGTGTAAGTTGTGGTACATGTGAAGTAAACAGAAGCAAAATTTCCTGTCTATCTAAAAACAATAAGTTCTTGGCACTCACATTCCAAAAGCATTTTTGTGAGTGTTGATGTAAAACAAAGTGTCACCAGCATAGCAAAATACTCTGTGCAAACCATTCTGCCATGTTTTCTGTGGATCTTCCTTGCTAAATAGTAATTGGTTTCTCTACACCTCTTGTGCCTGCTTTCAGTTCTGAAATCTGAATGCTTGACGAATGCAATATTTAGGATCTAGCCAGTATTTGAGAGCAGCACTGTGTGCCTTGGCTCATCACATAGTGTACTACATAATGAATCTCTTTACTAAAGCAAGAGTATCCTTAAAAAAAATAATGGTTAGTAGCATGT